GAAAAGCTTAATGTGGTTTTTTTTTTTTTTTTGGGGGGGGGGGGGGGGAGATGCCATCAAGTTAACATGCATTTCTCAGAATTTTCATCTGCATTTTTAACCCCTTTGAGACTAGCCAAATCAGCCACTTCCAATGGAAGTACCTTGCACATTAAAATAGCCAAATGGCTTATTAGTCTGGTGGGGTTAATCCAGTCAGTGAGGTCTCATGTGCCTTGAAAAGGCCCTGATAAAGCTGGTAAACACTGGCTCCTTTGACATGAATTCTCATTGTACTGCTGCATGGAGCATCTGTTCTCTCATTCTGGGATCACAGAAGAACCGGAGTTTCCGGGGTAATAGCTTCACCTCCACAGGCATAGCTTCATACTCCTCATTATCAATGCCAAAGGATCCCTCAGTGCCCTGTGTACAGATAACAGCGCTGATCAGGGTTAAACATCAAACATGTTATTTCAGCAATGCTGTAATACTGATTACCTGATTTTGCTCATAGACTACAATTGAATACTTAGCTGAGTCTTAAACAAGATGTCCCTTTCCCTATGCCTTCCAGCCCATTTGGTCTGAACACCCCAGTGACAGCTATCCTTCACAGCACATAATATATTAACAGTCTGTTGCATAAGATGTTACCTCACTTAGTTGCTAATTGGTGATAATTAAATGATAGGGGGCTTTAATGACCCACATTGTTTTTACTGAAGGATTCTTTGCTATTGGAACTACAATTATATACACTTAGATCTTGGTCTGCCAATGGTGACACAAGCTAATCTGCAGAAGTGCCTGTTAAATAACACCTATTAAATCTGTGTTACAAACACCTTTTGGTATTGTTTTACTATATTGATCTGAAATGTGAGATGCAAAGTAATTCATGTGTCAGGAATTACTCAGCAGTAGAAGTGTTTTCTTTAACGCTGATAAAGTCACCAATGATTAAAACCATTCATCAAAATGGCAGGTTGACTTTACCTAAACAAATCTGGTGACTGCTTTGCATGTGCTTGACTCAAGGTAGGGCTATGTTACATGGATACGCAAACTAGCTCCAAGTGAACTCGTACACCAGAATAGCACAGATGAGAGAAAATGGCATAGGTTCTGGAAGTCAGAGGTACAGCAGTCCACATGGATCAACATATCCCGCTTCTCTGCAAAGCTGGTGAGACTCATCCAAGCTGCCTCCAGTTCCTTCATCAGAGCTAGGTCATGAAGTCGAACAGCACTGCTTTGTGCCATGCACACATACTCTGAAGATCTTAGCAGCAGCTGCAGTATGAACAGCTCATTTTATACCACAACCTTTACTTACGGCTCAGCTGTACTTAGCCCAGCACTCCAGAGTATTCTTTCAGGATCACAAAATTGCCATGATATGAGTTTGATGCAAGTATTAGGATGCTGGCTAATCATGACATCGTAATTCATGATTTTCACTTGGTAGGAACAGATTTTTTTCACCTTTTGGCACATTCTATTCTCCCTTAATATGGAATTATTTTGCTGAATGATAGATCACTTGAAGATAGAAATTATCTATGAGACTGATTTCACATCCTTGTAAAAACAAGAAACTGTCCTCAAGGCCGCAATAACAGCATCTTCTTCTAAGAGGCAACAAAAGACTAATCTAAATTACATAGGTGGACACAGTTTTGGCTTCTTTTTCAGCCTCATCTATTCTAAGTTTTGAGACACTTCCCTATAGTGATCTGAGCCCCACTGCCTTGTCTCACCCTCCTTGGTCTCCATAAAGCTTCTAATATTTATCTTCTTCTCTACAGCACAACCCCTTCTAGGGTAAAATGTACACATGTCTTCAATACCAAGGAGAAGGTGTGCATATGCAATACACCTGAGTAAGAGACCCTTTACAACCACCACCGCTGTCTACATAAAAGGTCTGCTGCTATTTTCTGGCAGAATGAAGCTCCCCCTCTGGTTTACAGGCCACTTGTGAAATTCCGGTATGTGTCTCTGGGCCAGGGACTCAGTTGCTGCACTGAGGAACTGAGCGTCTCACCGGCAGCGTAATCAACCTCCCAGATTTGGAGTAGGGATTTCTTAATGTGCAGTATCAACTGGTATGAGGAAATAAAGTGACAGAGTTTTCCAGCTCCCTCAGCTTCTCACCTCTGGAAGTTGCAAGATGCATCTGCTGGCTTGGATGTACTGACTCCCTTCAGGGCACGTATGTGGATCACGCATCTTCTGACTTCTGTTCAAACCAAAAGAGAGGTAAGGTAAGGAGATGTTTCTCTCGGAAACAGCCATCTTTAGGGATGACATGTCATTGTGGGTTGGTAAATCACTATGTATTTGGTAAAATTAGAGGTTATGTATATATACAAATATTTGTGGGTTTAACTGTGAGAAAGTAAAATAAGCAATAAAAAAAATTCCCTGTTCTGCTACAGTCAATACATATTAGTATGCACTGACAGCCTCCAACCAGCTTCCACTCTGAGGCTCACTGAATATATTTGAACATATAGCACAGTTTTGGGCTCCTCACTTACATGCTGGAGTGTACAATTCCTGCAACGACTACCATTTCCTCATATCCCATGCACCCACATAACTTACCAGCAACATAAACAACTCTAAGCCAAAAAACCTGATATAATTATAGTTATATTGAACCACCAAAATTACCAAATTGCCATCTAAAAACCAAACCAACCCCCTCCTCTTCTCACATCAACACCCGTCAGCATAATGTTTCTTACCAGCTGCTTTTATATTATTCTTGTGAAGAACCCCCCAGATCATCATTTTATCCATTCCAAATAATATATCCATTTTTGTCCGTTACTCTTTCTTTTCTGGTGCCTGTGAGATTCTTATTTACATAGTGTACTTACAGAAGTGCTACTTCCCTACTTCTGTGGATGTCAAATGGGAGCACATAGAAGGCAGTTGCCTGTCTTAGAAAGCTGGTAATACAAGTGGCATGTGGTCTTTTTCAAGTCTTAGGTTGCTGTCCTGTCACTGGATCAACGGTTAAAGAATAGTGCGTTGCGATTCCTTTTCCCAACATGTGCTGCTGCAGAGTAAGCACAAGCTCGGGTACACTGACCTACCTCTGGCCTCCTGACTGAAAACACATATAACCTTTTGGCTGACCTTTGACAAAGGGTAAACCGCACCCCAGGCAGTAACCCCTCAGTTTGGGGCCCTCTCCAGACAGACAGCAACACACAAATAGCAAAGGGGATAGCAGAGATTTACAGTGTTAATGTATCACAGCTCTCAAGCATGGCAGAATTATCACAGATATTCCTCCAACAGGCATACCAGCTGTCCCCAACTTTTCTGTCTATTCTGTAGACTGATATGAAAGAAGACTGTATTTAAATATTACCCAGGAAAAGATGTCACAAAAACATGTCAGAAACTCCCTATACACCAAGCCTTCTATGCCCTGAGGAATGCAAGCACCTCTTAAAATCACAGAAAATCCCAGAGAAAGAACACAAGAAGAGAGGGTTGAAACAGGAGATGATAATCAAAGACAAAGGAAGAAAAGCTAAGATACCAAAGGAAAGGGCAGGGAAGGATGGAAGCAATATTAACTGTGGAAAGTTTGGTTTTAATCAAATATGTATATACTAAAAGATTAATGAGTGAATGTGAGGGAATTAAACATCCTCCCGGCAATATAAATTATAAATCATTGATGGCATACAATACTGTCAGTTTATACAGTGCTGTACAAACAAGCTGCAAGATTCCCTGCTTAAAGTTTAACCTGCTTGAAGTTTAACATACAAGGTCCTAGACATTGCACTCTGGTAAGCAAGTAGATTTTTTTGGTCCGTGAAGGAAAATGAGGCTCTATATAGATGCAATTATGGGGTCAAGGTAAGCTCAAAAGAGACAAGACATGGAACTAAAGATCAGTCAAAGGAGAATGGTAGAGGCAAACAGACACAACTCCACTTGCAGTGATTGTCTCTCTAGTGACCCAGTATAAAAGGATCAGAAATCACTTCCATTTGATTCCACTCCTTACTCAAGGCAAGACAGTAAAGTGAAACAGAAGCAAGACCAAAGCCTAACAGCAACAGTTTCAATGGATTGTTTTATCCCACTCCATATGCTGAATCACAAAAATACAGGCAGAGAAAGAACCACACCACCTTCTGCAGATAACCCACACAATTTTAACCTAGTTTTCATCTCCAGAAGCGGCCAATGTTAAATGATTCAGAGTAAGACTCTCTAACCAAAAAAAACAGTCTTCTGCACCGTAGCTGGTAACTGTATTCGTGCACTGGAGTGACAGCTCTCCATGCTTTCATATACAGAATCTAAGCTGGCTACCAGGATGTGCATTACCAGTGCTACACTTTCCATCCCCTCTCTCTTTCCCTCCAGCACTTCTTAGTAAGCACTAGCGTGTAACCCCCTGTTCTACCCCCACACTATCTTAAACATCAGCTCTACCCCTGCTGCAGATGTTCTTGTTCACAGAAGTCTGATCCACAGCCGCAGGGCACTTTTATACACCTGGGATGACCTACTCCTTCCTTTGAAATCCAACAGCAGTTGCTAACCAGCACTCTGATGTACTCCCCACTACACACTGCCTGAGCCTGCATGGTAGTTTCCCACTGGATGTGTGGTTTCCTTTGTGATCCATCAGTTCTGATCAGCTTGTGTCAGTACCCTCTTCAATATAAAAAAAAAACAACAAAACCCCTTGATATCTGCACTGATAAGGTATTTTCCTTAAAAACCTTTTCAACCCGCCAAATTCTGGTGCAGTTTAAAACTACACATTAAAAAAGAAGAAAATCGAAAGAGATTCTTCACACATTTCCAAAGATAAACCCTGTTGGTGCTAGGCAACAGGGAGCCCTTAATAACTGGCTTGATTCAAACCTAGCTGCCAAAGGGCATTGTGCGGTGGAGAGCTTCTCCGAAGACCCTGATTTTGCCTTGCAAAACCAGGGCCCGTTTTTTTTGTTCCGACTCCTCTCTGTAGGACTAACAAGTCCTTCCTGCTGCTCCCCCACCCCATACACCCCTCTTTCTCTTTCTTTGTTACCTACAGACTTTTGGGCACTATTTAATCAAAAGAGTTTGTTTCTTTGAACTTTGCTTGAGCAGCAGCTTAAAGCTTTTGGTACTGCCTCTAATTAGCTCTAGCCAGCAGGGCATGTTAACTCTCATCAGAGGCTTTTTCTGCATGACAGTGTAATTGCAGTCAGAAAATGAGACATACTACTGTGTGAAGCATGTCCACAGTCCACACAGGAGACATTCTTTACAGTGGGTGTACACTCGAATACCCTTTCCTTAAATCACACAAATTAATCCACATTTTTTCTGCTAGCAAAGTATAGCATCTCCTTTGCCTCCCTCCTTTAAGAGGCCAGATTTGTCTTGCTGCTAACGGGAAAAATCTCCTCTTCCTTTCCTTCTGTAGCCTTCAAAGCAGATTTCAGTCCCAAGCAACTTATGGTCCACATGGCTCATGCAATTTAAAAGCAGTTGCAGGTGGTAACCTGACCTACCACATATGCATAGATCAGAAGATCCTATACCCAGTGAGGCTGGTGGGATGCTCAAATAAGAGGCCCGCTGCTTCTATTAGTATCATAAACAAGACATACATGCAGGAATTATTAGTGTAATGACAAGCAGGTAAAACTGTGTTGAAATCTTCCCATTGATTTCACTAGAGGGAGCTCTAAGACTAGAAAACAGTATTGACAAATAAGGTAACATGCAGAACAGCATTCAGATTCAGTAGGCAAATCTGTTGCTGGTAAAAACTGCACTGAAGATGCAATGCATTCGCTAGTGAGACTGTATGGAGGAGCTGGAAAAAGCAGCTCAGATTTGTCTGGTGAGAGATCAGAAGGAACAAGCGTGCTACAAAGGAAGCAATACATGTTCACTTTTTCTCTACATGCTGCTGCTTCATACCTGCAGCCTTCTTACTCCACATGCAAGCAGCACCGACACATTTGCTTAAAGTCCCCGTTTAAATTCACATCTTCCAAAAGTCCTTCCAGCTCAAACCTAATTTCTTACAAGAGTTATTGAGTCGAGTCAAGGGAGGTCTTCACTTAGAAGTAGGGTCTGTCTAATCAGAGTTCAAAAATTCCAGGTACCACTAGTACAAATGTATCAGCTCTGTGACCCGCCTCTCAATCCACTGAGCAGCTAGGGCTAAAACATTCTGGGGATAAGTCTGTATGGCTGTCTATAAAACTCGATTATGACAGTATTACCCAAGTAACACCGATCAATAGCAATGGGGAAAAAAGATGAAAGGTATAACAAACTCAGAAGGTAGGAAGAACTCCAGGTAGACTGCTCCGTCTCATTTCCAGAAAGAGAAAATTAGTAATAATTTTAAAAAACAAAACCCGTAATCCTCATGAAGCATACTGACTGGTGTCCCTTGCAGTCCTCTGCTTCTGAATTTTGTAGCACAAGATCAGAGAAAAACAGCACACTTCTCAGAATCAGTGTTCCGACTCATACAGAGATTCTGTCATCTTTTTGCATCCTTCCCATACTCACCCTCTGTTTACAAACTGTCCTTTGCTGACTGTATCTGCTTCAATGCAAATATCCATGAAGTCTTCAGTGCGCTATGCAAAAAAACATTCAGAAATCAAGCAGTTAACATTTCAAAATGCCACACCCATGATACTGCCATTATGTTCACAAAATGCCCAGTCCTTTGTCCCACAAAAGGAGGCAGAAGATGCATTTCATGCTTTTTTCCCCTCAACTCGAGATTTGGATTATAAATTAGAGAGAGTAATTTCTCACTGATGACTATTCAACAATAAATACCACAAGAAGTGAAATAATGATTCACACGTTTGGCTTCTTGCTACATTTCACACACTAAAGACAGTAATAACAGATCACTTGGGTTTACATCTGTTCACAAAGATTTCTAATCAATGGGTCTTTCATGAATTTAAGCAATAGTAAAATGATGCAACATTTGGCCCCTAAACACTACAGTAAGAGAATTTTAAACAATACAAATTGGAAGTCAAAATGTTCTTGATATCATTCCTTTAGACTCCCTACGTAGCTTTTTTTCTATTTACAGCCTGCCCTTAAACGAAGTATATATTAAAGCTTTTGCCGGGAAAGCAACTTTGATTAAGACACAACTCATTTTTTATTTATTTATTTTAACACTTCTGTCCTGGCAAAAGTCCTAGTGCAGATGCAATCAAAATGACAAAAGTAAAAATAAATGCATCTATTAGTACAACTCATTTTATTTCTTTGCTGTATCTGCAGAGGTAGGCTTGGCACTGTCTCAGCTGCACCTGTATGGTTTTATCAGCTTCTCTTCAACAGGGCAGCCTAGGCATGAATCTGAGGTGAGACAGAAAGACAGGAGTGGCTGACAATACTCAGCAGATACACCCTGGTATCGATTCAAGAGAGCTGTTGTTCAGCTTTGATAGCTACAGGGGCAATGGCTTCAAGAGCAGGAGTTAAAAGCAGTTACAAGGGGTCCACATCTGTAGAAAAAAACAAGATGCAGTATCAAGATACTTCCAGCTCTAGAAACAGAAAAGTATGACTGCCTTAACATACACTTGTCCATTTCTCTAAGCTATGCAAGAGACCCGAGAACCCTACATCACCTCGTTGTTCAATACCAGTATTAAAGTGCATCTTGAAGGCATAAAGGAGAAAAAAAAACCCCAAATCCAACCAAATACCAAAGGACGTAAGGGCTGGTCTGTGGCAATGAGATACGTTTTCAGTTCTTGGTAGGTCTGTTTTTACTTTACGTCACTGACTCCAATCCAGTTCAGCGACCAAAACTGTTCTGTTCAAGTGCCATCTAGAAACCACTGAAAAAAGAAATACCCAAATATTAGCCTCTGTCTAGCTTCTGCCATTACTAGGACACTCGTGGTCCAAATCATAAGCCACTGATGAAGAAGAAACTAAAATTTATGTGGCACATTCTAAGGAGAAAACAGAAGGAAACTTTAAGACTCGGTTTGCCTGTTTGTTTTTTTTTTGTCTGATCCTACAGAGATAACTTATCAATATAACACAAATTTTCAGGTTCTTAAAGACCCTGAATTCTGAGCAGGAAACACACTACAGTAAGTTCAACACCTCCTGTTAATCTGGGTGTAGTGGCAGTGGTTTCCTGCAGCCATGAGGAAAAAATGAAGAGCAGCTCACCAGTACAGGATCACTGTGTTAGCATTTTCCAGTAAAATTAAAGACTGACATCTATCCAAATAGCTTTCACAGCAATAAAATTGCACCAAAACACAGACATAAGCCAAAGGCAGGTTTTAAAACAGTGAATGAACAGCATGAGCATGCTGAGAAGGTTATGACAGGAACAGTTCCCTTGCTCCCTTGGTTCTACTCTTCCACAACCACCTGCATTTCCTGTCCTTCAACTCAGTGTAGCCTCTGTCCTTTCTCTAGTCCCAGTTCTTTTTAACATTTTGCTCTGCAAGCCAAAAGAGAGAGAAAAAGCCACAATTCCAGGCAGACATTCAGGCTCAGCTTCCTTCAAGCACCAGCTGAAAAAACAGAATCATTCTCCCATGGGTCAAGAAGGAAAGTAGTACCTATTTTGATGCTTTGTTTTCTCCTGGGCAATCCTAAAGCTTCCGTTTGGCTAGTGAAACCTTCTCATTGTACAAATTCTTCCTGATCCCACTGCATCCCAGTTTTACATGGGTCTCCAGTGCTTTTACACTAGCTTTGAAACTTGCCCATTCCTGGATTCAGTCATGGGCCCCTCCCTGCTTAGGGTAGTAAGTTTTACTCATATAGACACAAAAATGGGAGTTTAGCAAGAAAAGAAAACTGTGTGGGCAGGCAGCATTTAGAATCCAGTTATACTGTGGTCTTACTGTCAGATCAAGCTGCCTGTTCCGAGTTGCAATGGAAAGCTCAATGGTGGATAGCTTCAGTTCTTCCCAGTCCTCTGGGGTTACATCCTGGGGGATTTCTGCAAATCAAGAAGAGAAGATATCATTAAGTGGAATCTAATTACACAGACCATCATTTCACTGCTATGAAGCGTGAACATCGATGCCAGCCACAAAAATCACTCTGACCCATTGTGACCACTAGCTTTGTTTCTTTTGAACTTCAAAATCTTAAAAAAGGAAAAGAGAGCTTGAGAGTACTGAAGGAAAGAAAAAAAATACCACCAGCATTCACACAGTAGCAGGAAAGACTATCAAGCATATTACATGGCAGCCCTATGAGTCTTTATGCCCAGGGATTAACTGATCTCTTGGGCTAGTATTACGGGAACATTTAGAAAACACATGAAGCACTGCTACCAAAAAACCAGGAATTCAATGTTCAGGATGCTGTGGTAACATGTATTCTCTAGAGAAGGAAACTTCATGGTTCAGTTCTCATATACAGGTCACTTAGTTCATGCTTCTGTCTGAATCACCTCTGCTAGCCAAGAAGGAATGAGAAGGACTTTGCATCACGCCAGCCTGTGCAAAATACACGCTCCCCTTCCTTCTGCAGTCTGCCACACGAACTGTATAGCTAACACCCCAACCCAAGAGAGGCTCACAGAGCACACAGAAGAAAATTTATGTTACAGAAACTTAATGTACTAAGAGAAACTTCAGGCTTCTGCATGGCCCAAGTTTTATTATTCTATTTTAAGTAACACTTGTTGCTCTGTGGCAGTAACTCCCCCCACCCCGGAAAACAAGGGCTGCTCCTCTCTTGCCAGCGCACTAAGAAGCCATTCTACAGGAGGAAGACTTCAAGAAGCTCACCCATAAGTGCCGAGTATCACCTATGGTGGCTTCCATAGCAACGGCAAGTAACTGTGAGCCCAGGGAATGCCCTAGGTTTTTTACAAAACGCACTTTTGTTCATGAGACCACAAGCACTGGCAGGACTACTCTGTTCCATTTCTGGCAGATACCACTGTAAGTATCTTGACAAAGTCACAGTTTTAATACATAATAAATAAATAATAATAATAATAATAATATAAAAATGAGAGAGCAGAAAAGTAAAGCAGACCCCACCCCCCCCAATCTATTAAAAGAGTAAAACTTGCCTGTGAGTTTATGCCAAAATACACACACCTCACCTTTTGGAGGAGATGACCAGTACAACTGAAGTCGTCTGTAAAGCCTCACATACAAAGGAGGTCTGGATGGTTTCTCCTCTGGCTCTTCTGGAGGTCTTTCAGTTGGACCCAGATACATGAGAGCAGCTTGACGTTTCTGAGGCCATTCCTTGGATTTACATGGAAAGAAAAGACAGAAGATAAAGGGCCTCTTGTTTAGCACCTACCTGTTTATTCTGTTTAATCCTTTAGTCTATTTATTCTGTGCTCCCAAGTACTCTGCAGAGCTACCCAGATCCCACCAGTGCCTCAGCCTACTTTATGGCTCTGCAGCCTCCAGATTCATATGTGAGATGACATTTTTGCAGCTTGAAAAAGATTATCCACACTTCCCAAGTCTACTCCTTCCCACATAAAAGTGAGGTATTTTCCCCTCTATAAGCAGAGGGTAAAGGGATGTTTTCTTTGCTGCTGATGCGTGGCAGGGTGACACAGCTGCTTCTGGCTGGAGTGAACAACCAAAACTGGCAAGGTCAACATTAAAGTCTGAAAGCACAATTGGTTTCTGCATGGCACAAAGGCAACCTCAAAGAGCAACCACACAGCTGGGTCTAGTGCAAACAGACAAAGACTACAGTCCTGTGTGCAGCCAAGGGGCACTAAAACCTAGCAGGCCTTTGTTCTCCAACAACTCAAACAATCAAGATCTGATCTTATAGTCAGGTGCTTATAAACAGCAATACAACAGGTCTTAAGGCAAGTTAGGTGAGCTTTATAAAGCATCTAAGGGAAAAAAAAAAAAGAAAACAAAAAAAAGAAGCAACACATTATTCTTGGTGGTATTTCAGATTCCAGTGCCAAAAATTGATGGAATACAGAGGAGCCTTAGCTCTGAAATACTTCCAGATGCTGACAAAGTTTATTTCCTCTCATTTTGTTTTAAAAATAATTTCTGAAATGCTCAAAATGTAGGACTTATGGAGGGAATAATATGACTGTTTTTTAAATATATATACTAAAACAACCCAGCCAAGAGCCCACATGTACTCAATACAATTATTTTTCTATGCACAAAACTTTAGAAGTAGTTTTGGATCATATAGCACAGGTTGTTAAGCTAATTCACCTCCCACCTCTGAGAGCAAGGAAAGACTCCACTATCATACTTGCATAATAAACAGGACAAACAGAGGTTGTATCAGCAGGGCAATACACAAACAGTAAGTATTCACGATTAAAGAGAAAAGCAGCAATGCTGTGATAATTTAAGCCAGTATATTTTAGAAGAGATGGTAACAGTCATAACAATGCCCCTACAAACATCAGAGGTGAGCTCTTTCCCCTTACACTGTTTTCAGCTACAGGTCACCCTGTTTCAAAGGACAGCTACAGCAAAACCAGAAAAGATGAAGTGCACAACAGCAAAGACAAGCCAGGAAGATATTAAGCTCAACAGGCTGGAGCCATTTCTTATAGAAATTAACAAAATGATAACATAAGAGGCACATAAAGCAGTGAATACCACAATTAGGTGAGATCAGGTAGAAACTTTTCTATCTTAATAGCAGAAAAAGTGGGCACTTCTCTTTAACCTTCAGCAGGTTAAACAGATCTTTTTAATGTACAATGAATAGCTCACCAGTGAAATCCACTATCACTACCACTAACAGAGGCTAAGGACTCAACAAAAGCGAGAAAGGGACTGGGGAAAAGTGAAGAATAGGTTTCTACCTAGAATGCCAGCACACAGAATCATCATCTCAAATTTCATGGGAATGAGAGGGAGAAAAAAAAAATCTTTCATGGATGCATTACAATTTAACTCCCCTTTACAGGAGCTTCCTATAAAGGAAGCATTGGCGCAGTCACAGACAGCATGGCTGGACTGCACAATCTGATCTATTGTACCAGCTCCTGGGTATTTCCACAGCCTTTCATGAGGCTCCTTCTATGTTCAGAGAACAGGAAAAGCATGTGAATGAAAATGCCTCACCTTTCATGCAGGTCAAATTTTAATCTTTCCAGGATCAACTTTAAGCAACAGAGAAGTTTAAGGTGAGATATAAGCTATTAATCTTCAGGTTCATTTTACTACACATGGAAGCCTGATTATCAACGTGCACGAGCAGTCTAATTATAGACACTCTGCCAGACTAATAAATCAGAATGAAATGTTACCATAAGAGAGACCGTTGAGAAAAGGTGACAGAGCACTTTATCAACACCACTACTGCTCTCCAGTTTCAAAGGTGGTTACTGGCTCCCCCTGGTGATCTTGCAGTAACAGATCCTCAGTAAAGAAATTGTATTTTTTAAGTATTCCTCCTGCCCTTCCTCTCTTCAGAAGTTAAGTCTATCAATTGGTAGGTTTTTTTAACAAGTGTCACTCCCATTTTATATTGTTACCAGAATCTTTCACAAAAGCTTACAGAAAATTTATATAAACATTTTTAATTTCCCAACTACAAGAACACTTTCCTCAGAAATACTCTTTACCTTAAATGTACTGAAAAAGTGAGCTGCTTTGGTTTTCAGAGGCCCAAGGTACCAGTACCTGAAAAAAGAACACAAATAGAACTTCTAAGATATCCAGGGGTCAATACTGGGAAAGGGAGAAATCTTCCTTGAAGTCAGAGCACACTGACTTGTTTGCCACTGGAGTTAGTGCTCCCCTACAACCTTCAGCTTTGTGATACTATCAGTTTCCACACACCACCAGCAGCTTAGCAGTGACATCCCTTTCCTGAGTTACAGGTCACCAAAATGCAGTACACAAACTTCACTACAGGCAGCACAACATCTCAGTAGCAGAATTTTACCTAGTTATGTGACACAACTAGGAATGATCTACAGGTCTGTGGTCTAACAGCTGGTGGGATGCATCTCCACAATATGCAATAAAGAATGATGTTGGAGGAAACAAATCAAAATCAACAGCTTCAGTGACAAAAGAACAGAGCCAGCAAACATTCATTTGCCCCAAAGGATGCTCAGATCAAAATCAATGTTTTACAAAATAAAAATCCTGCCCGCTATAGAGCACTGTATAGAATCTAAAGATGTGACTATATTTAAGCAGGCTTGGCACACATTTTGATCACTGTCTTCCACCAAAGAAGGTCAACAAAGCACATTAAATACCATCAGCTCAAGAGTACTGCAAATCTAAGTATATCATTAACTACTAAGGCGTGCAACCGTCACACCACTCCCATCAAGCCATTAAATTGTCTGTAAAATAATAAAACCTCAAAAACATAAAACAGCACATTGTCTCCACCAGGACAGTGCTTAGCAGAGGCATAGTCAGACAAATTTCTGGAACTGTGGCTTATGGCTTAACACCCTTTGTAGTAGGTACCTTGTTTTCAGTATAAGATCAGTTGTGCTGGAATACACCAAATGTTTATTTAGCCCAATAACCCATCTCTCATGGGGACCAAAAGCAGGTGGAGAAGTATAAAACCAGGACAAGCACACATGGTTCTTGTCCCAGGCACACTCTGAGCACACATTCATTTGTGGCTGAAGTGCTTTCCCAGCTGGGCATGTTTTCCATGCATTTGGAAACATTCATGGAAGAGAATGAGGTTTGAGGATGTTCACGCTGCCCCACGTACAAAAGGTGCTGTCATCCTCCAGCACTGAGTCCAAAAGACTCTTACAAAAGGGAACTGCTGCAGGAAAAGATGTGAAGGCTGACACTAGGCAAAAAACAGAGTATGGGCAGGAAGCCTAGCAAGAGTGCGGAGGAAATAGAAGTGTACTTCCTTAGTCTTGGGGCTGCAATTAGCAGGATAACCTGCAGCATAGCCAAATCAGCACCTACACAAGCTACCAAGAATGTCCCTTGCTTCCCACAGACAAACACCCTCACCATTTACTGCATCTCCCACATCACCTCTCAAACCTAGTCAAATATCTCAAATATTTGCCAGACAGACTCCAGTGCTTTGCTACCTCTTGCTGACAAAGACAGCTCATTCACAAAACACATGGTATTTCCTTATACCTGTGCAGCAGAGACATGTGCTGCAATTCCTCCGTAGCAGTTAGAGAAGTGAACTGCTTTGGCCCTGCTGCTCCTTCACCAGATAGTGCTAGTCATTTGATACACAGACAGTGGCATATTAAATGTCCATTTGCAGAAAGCCCAACAATTATTAGTTTAGCATTCAGAGAACAGTCAGACAGCATGGTCCATGCCATTTCTGGCAGGAACTGAAGGGCATTTCTACTGCATCTGATGTCCCTTGTTGGAATTGAGTTACAGAGTCTGCGTGCGTCTTTTCATTGGCAGCTGATGAAAACCAATGGCCAATTACTTTACTTAGACTTTACTCAAGGGAGAGCTTTTCCCACTGATACAATGTGAATAAAGTTCCAGAAGTGGGCACCACAAGGCAAGCAGAAAGTAAATACTCAAAAGAACTGGTCAGCACCAAGTAAGTGTTTATTTCAAATGACAAAAATGCTGAAATGTCGTATACTGCCATGTGTGTAAGGCAAGACCTAACAAGAGCGGGTGACTCTGCCTGTCAAATGCCTACACTCAAAACAGACTTCTTTATAAGAGGGGGGTATGTCCTTTTAGGCAACTGATGCTAAAAAACGTAGTTTCAAAAACCAGTATTTTCTTACTTGCTAACTTTAACTCCTGCATCTCTGTAAGATCCCCATCTTAAACCAGTCACTGCAAACACAGGCTGTTCTTTTGCTCCCTGTAAAGAAAAACAAACATTGTGAAATTGCTTTCTCTTATCTTGTTTCCAACTTTGTTTTTTGCAGCTAGAAAAATACCATTTCTATAGAAACAGATTTCTGATCAGTCCCAGAAGTGAAATTTCACATAAGAGGTATGATAAATAGCTAACAGCAATAAAACTAAGCAGAATTTAAGCATTACACATTCCATCTGCTCCCAGAGAGGAGTGTAAGAGGTGAAGTTTTGAAGAGGTTGATTGAGTTTGACTGCACACCCAGCAATAGCCATTTCATTTTGTGGATATTGTCAGCCAAAAGCAAGGAGCTCTGCACAGTGACACTAAGTTCTCGCTGCAGAAATGTCCATTCTACAACATAACAGAAAAATAATATTCAAAAACCATATAGGGCATAGTCAAAGGTTTTCCCATTTCATATTTTTCAGTTTGTAAAAGAAAGCTATTAACTCCACAATACATATGAATGCATTAAATCAGCTCAGACAGCTATTGTTCTCTCTCACTGTTTCTACAGAAATATCGGTGTTAGTAAGTTTTGTATTCATCAATATTCTCTGAGCCTCAAAAAAAGATGTTCAGGCATTCTTGTGTTTTCTCCAGTTTAGACTATCTGATGTCACAGCATACAGTGGAGAAACGACTGCCACCAGAACTGCTGATACCATAAACCAAAATTCACGACAGCATTACACAGAGAAAAAGCAGTCCATGTAAACAGAACAACATGAGAATAGTAAAGTTTTAGGAACGTTGGGTGCCAATACCTTGATCTGCAAGACATCAAGTGGAACTGTCTCTCCCTTCAAAATGGCCAGTGTAGCATTAGTAATATGTCTGCAAAACAAACAGGAAAGAAATAAAAGAAAACAACCAGGAAGAAAGGAAACAAGTAAGATGTAAAATTACACTTTTTTTCAGCAAATCCCACTATGAGTCCAGGTGTGGCTTTTTTGCAGCAAACAACCACCTCAGGGAAAGAACTCTGACAAAGTCTGTGTCCTAACAAACAGCAAAACACCTGAAAAGCAAAAGGAAGTTCTCAGCCTAAGCTTTTCAGAGATTACTCCTTCTTCAGCTAATCTGGCAGATCACACACCAACTCTGTTACTCGCTGCTGTTTTGGATACTTAACCCACTATGGACCCAAATCATGGTTTTATTTTATTGGTGGCAAATGTAACAACCTGGGAGGGAAGGGGATGGTCATGACACTGGTCTCAAATCATGTGTCTGGGACTGAATTGCCTTAGTATGTTAATTTGTTTTGAAGGTTTTAATCAACATAAATCTACCTATCAGCAGTGCTCATGTGGTTTTGGTCTCCATTAAGTTGTGGACAGTTGCTAATGCACTTTATCATTTCAAGTCGTAAAGTGTGGCACTAGAGATTTTGTAACCAAAGTGTTCAAGTTCATAAAGCAGTCTCTATGTTCAGACCTTGAAGCATATATTTCATTAAAACTCCTTCCTTGTTTTCAAAGCTGGGTAAAATTTAAATTCCACATTGTGCACATTTCCAGTGTCTCAGCTGGACAAGGAAAAAAACCCAAAGAAAACCAAATGCAGTTTTCAGATGCTGCCCAATATTCACATCACTCAGCAGAAGAAATTGTCCTTGGCTCCATCAGGCTTGGAATACTGAGACAGAGAAGGAAGCTGTTCTTACCTCTGCCCTTCTTTTCTCCTAACTCTTACCTTTCTGTAAGACCTCTACAGTTCCTACACTTCAAAGGTAAGATCTAATAGTGCTGAAGGAACCAAAGCCCAAATACTTCTTTTTAAAATATCACTTCTGCACTTAAGTCAGGTTCTGTTACTAGTGTGGGTTGTTAAGCAGCCTATTGACCAAATTCCTTTCAACTTCACCAATATGCTGCAGTCGCACCTGCACAGTTCATTACCTTGGGACAAGAAGATCATTCATTTCAAACAGCTTCTTTAGAACCCAAACATAAATTATTATTTTAATCTTAGCTGCTGATTACAGCCTTGTCCATCTTGCCAAGCTTCAAAGCACTCTGGTAGTTTTCATGAAGGATGTTATGCCAGTTGGCTCCTGGGTTTTACGTATGATGGATACCAGCAAGGGTCCCGCAAAGAGGAATGTTAATGAGTTACTGGGAGAATCAGAGTGAACAGATTTCAGGAGAAAGGAGCAATATATTCATTAGTATGGGAGAAGAGGAAGGAAAAAATTGAAAAGAAATGAAGTGTGGGGAAAAGAAAGATGAGTTGACTGGCCTTTTTACTTTAGAAGTGGGCAAAACAAACTTACAACAAACTGAAATGGAGGCAACAGATACTGCCAGACTGGATCATATCCAGGATGCTGACAGATTCAGGTTTTGGAGAGTTGCCAACATCACTCCCATCACAGGGATGGGCGAGAAACCCTGCAGAAGTCAGTAATGGGATCCAATCTTCCCCATAAAGATATTCTTGTATGCCTTACTCTGCAGGTGCTAACCAGGTTATATGCAGACTGGTTTCTAGAATTCTTAAATTGGAGAAGAGATGGAAAGAGGGGTTTTTTGTTTTATTTTGTCATATCCCTGCTATTATATTTCTGACTACTCCTAAGAGTTTTGATTTTTTTTTTTAAACATGCCAAACCCTGAGTATCACATGACCACAGAGAAATTAGCCACAGCAAATGATTTCATGTTCTAATAATTATACATTTCCTTCTTTTAATTTTTAGTCAGTTTTTGGAAGTCATTAACTCAGGGAAGTCCAGAGAATCATCAGGCTCTGCCCAGAGACTGCCAATTTCTATGTAACATGGAAGAAAAAGAAAAGTATCAAGCTACTGAGAAGCACTACTTCTTGAAAACAAACAAACAAAAAGCCCCCTTTCAGGGACAAGTAATACTTACTGGACTTGGTTCGTGCTCTCAGGGTAGAGCGTGTGGCTCAGAGTGCAGGTCTTCCCAAGAGGTATGAATCCTATAGGGATCTTACTGAAGACAGCCTGGACACACGAGGAGAGTAAATTAACATTTGCATCAGCTGAATGAAGCTTCCTGTGTGGAGATCACAGCTGCGTCTGATATCACCCCTTTGGCATTAAGCAGCCAGGCCCTTCCTTAAATGAGGCAGTAATACATAACAACTCAGAACATGGCATCCGAATCTGTGAATCCACCACTGCCAACTGGGTCCAAAGGAGCTTTCTGTAATCATTAAGAGCATTGTTACATGCAGGTTGGCAGCCATGTCCTAACTAATGCATGGATTCTGTCAGCAATCTGCCATCTTTCTTAATACTGACAGTGGCATCACAAGCTCTGAATCTCATTTACCATTGCAGAAATCCCCCTCTGATAAAGTAACCTTGCATGGCAAAGAGATTTTCTAAGTTAAGGAAAGGAAATTAATTGATTCCTCTGGCATCCAAATCATGAAGCAGCAGAAGGTCTAATTTTTGGAAGTCATTGACCATGTTATTTTTCTGTACCACAGTTCAGCAAAAGGGCTTGTTGAAGGAGCATGTTATTATACTATACATCATAATAAACTGTGCTTCTTGAAGCGTGTCAGCAAATCAATGTAAACTACCCTATATCACAATGTACCTTCTCCCTGCTGGGCACTGCTGCTAGCAGCACCATGATACTGCAAATCCGCACCGACTAAGCAATACCCCTCTCACTTCATGCACACCTGCTCTCCTTTGCTATCTCTGTGTCACCTGCAAGTCTTAACACTTCTCAAACGCCCTTCTCTCATTTTCTTCAGAATTGTTTTACAGCATACAGATGACAGGCTGTTTGCAGCTCATGCGGTCGTGCTCTGCTCCCCTGGCTGCTAGGATCAGCGTTTATGGAGTACCTTGCATAGGCTCTTCTTATCCAGGCAACAGTGGTATGACATACCCAAGTAAAAAGGGAAGCAGAGCACAGAGTGAGGGGGCTGAACTGCAGATCTCTACTCCTAAGACAGTGATATGAAGGACAAGAAGAATTTCCTGGCCAAAGACATAAAGTGACACTACTACACTGCAGTATTCCACCCGAAACAGTGCCAGAAGCAGAATTTTCCACACTACTGCAAATCAACCCAAGCTACATCAAGATAGTAAGTCAAAAAATAGAGAAAAAAAATTAGCCAGTAAAGCCTCTAAAACTTTTCTTCCACTATCTTTAGATTATAGAGGTCTCAGGGGCCAACTATAATAATATTAAATTTAAAAAACTGATGTCTCAAAATTGATACAGCAAGTGCCCCTTTAAAAATACTGGCTTGGTTGCAGAGTTTCTCTTGTCACATTCAGGCAAAGCAACTGCCTAAACAGATACAATTCTAGCTGCCAAGGATATCATCATAATCTTGTCTGGATCATTTAACTGAGTTTTTGCCAGCTCCTGCCAGAAGGTTTTGGGAACAATGATTCCCTCCTTTCTTCAATAACACTGTCCTCCCTCTTTAAAAAGAAAAATCACTCTCATTTCCATTCGGAGCGATCCACCTTGAGAGGTTAAAACTTGCTTTCTGCAGCCATCTGCATAGGTAGATATTAACTGCTTGAAAAAATGGCAAAGCAATCATAAAGCAATAGAGGCATGGCCATAACTGAATTCGGTTTCAAGCCTGTACAAATACAAGAAAAACATGTACTTTCGCCCAATGCTTCTGCCAAACAAAGCAGCATACACAGCTGGTCCATGGGTCTTTGAAAGTTGTGCATTTGGCTTCTCCACAGTCCCTGCTCTGACACTGGAAACTTCCCAAAGCCATGGCTTGGGAGCCATTGCACTCCCTGAGAAAGGGAATGAGGAACAATGGGCAGAATTGCAGGACACTAGCATGGCTGACTTATTACGCAGCAAGCTGGCTTCAGATTAGTAAGCAACACATCCGTAGAAGACAGTGAGGCCAAGAGATCACAGCGGCTGTACAAGACACTTCATCTAAGAAATAAACAAAATTTAAAAAGTGACACTTTCTCACCTCATCTGCTCTGCGGAGAAGTCCAGTTATGACCTGAAAAACATGGGAAATGCTCAGCTCTGAGAATTTTGTTTTTCAGTTACAGTAGAAAGCTACGAAATTCATACCCACATTTACTCTTTGGAAAAGATTCAAGGAGCAGCTACTCTTTTATGGAAGGTGCTACATGGGAAAGGAGGCATGTTCAGTGTGCAAACATGGTGGAAATAGCAGGGTTACAAGCGCCCATGAGTGTATGCTGGCACCACAACCAATGCCAGCGTAAACGTTTTAACACTGAATAATGCTCTGCGTAATGCAGAAATAGCACTGATCAGTGTGCAATTAACAATAATCAATTCTAAGGCCAGGAGAAACTTTCAGATGTATTCTGACCACTTTCTTTTAAGGTCCTTGCATTTCATTTAGCCATTGCCTTATGAGGACAGTAGTTAGCATTCCAGGAAATACCTTAATAAAATACAGCCTTCCTTGAAAAATAGAGTATCCCCCAGTTCTGCTGGTAGTTTGCTCCTGTCACTAATCATCTTGACAATAGGCATTTATTAAATACATACCATGCTTTGTTATCACTCCCACGTAATTTTTAAATTATTTGATTCCCACTTAGCAAAACATGCATTCCTCTTGGGGAGTACAGACAGGAATGAACTTTGAAAATTAAACCATTACAGCTACATTACACAGAAAGAAAAAGTTAGAATCATGTCACCCCAGATAATTTTCTCATTCTAGAATAAAATTCTGGAAGATAGTTATGTCATACGCTCTTTCTGCCCCCACTCCCATCATCACTTTTAGACAATAACAACTAGCAGAGTTTTCTTGTGCCCATAAGATTATAACATTGACTGAAAACACAGATACTAAAATGGAAAAATCTCTAGTAATACTTGTTATGATGTTGCTACATTACACAGACGCAATCTTCTCATCCTCAGCCTGACTATGGTTCTCAACAAACCAGGACAAAGCTCCCGCAGTACCTCTTGTACTGTGCCATCTCCTCCTGCAATAATGATCAGATCCGTGTTTTCCATCAATTCCAGCAGCTTTTTTGCTTGTCCCTCATAATCAGTCTGAAGAAACAGAAATCCAAACATGAGAAATCAAGTGACTATTTCTAGGATTTTTCTTCTACAGGAAAAAAAAAAGAATCATCTAGCCATTTGCTTAATAGTTATTCTCATATAGGCACACAGTGCTGTATATTACCTACATTCACTGAAATTTCTTCAACTTAGAAAACAAGTCTGCTGCCTAATAGAATGTGTGCAAGCAAATGCACACACAAAAGCTAAATGAAATATCAGAGTAAATCTTATTCAGTAGATCTAGAATATGGCAGCAATACTCATATTTCCAGGTAGTTTTACACTGAAACAAAACCACAAGCAAATCATGCTCTTGCAGAAAAAGTCCCAAAATCTTTAGCAACCAAAGTGCTCCAGTGCGTCTCCTGAAACACAGAATCAGCTACACAAAAGGCTACTGCCCAACAGCAAGCTGTTGACAACAGGTTTAGCGGTAAAGAGTACACTGATGTTCCAAACCATCAAAACAGTTTTCTGCAAAATGAATGTCTTTTACAGGGACACGTCAGCCTCAGTTACTGGCCCAGCCCTGTTTCGCTAACTTGTCAGGCCTGAAGCTACAAAGCATCAGTTTTAAGTCTTGCAAAATAATTTTTTCTCTTAGGGTGGGACTATGTATTTTCAACGCACAGAGAAAGGCATTAATAAAACAGCATTTTAACTCTAAACCTTGTGAAAAAGATTCCAAGACAGAAAGATACATATTACAGTACTTCACTGCTAGGACACAGTGACTATTAAAGAATTCACATATCACAGCCTCAAAAACCTGCAAAAAGATCAGAATCCCTTCATGTTTACTTGTTCTTCTCTTTCCAGAGAAAACCTCTCTGCTAATTTACACCATTTAGAGCTCAGTGTTCTGCTTTCGTGATGGGAATGTTGAATTATTTGGGTATACACCGAGATATTTTCACTGTAAAAATAAAAGGTTATTTTTAATTAATCTGAACAGTTCCACTTCACGTCAAAGTTCCTCACTTCTGAATTCTGCAAGTTCAGGCAGAATTGACAATTTCAACAGTGACTGGCACGCACCACTAGCCAGCACTCAAATATTTAGAGAGTTTTCTCTCAAACATGAATTATAGAAGGGCTGCTTTAGACAGACAGACAAGCACATGTACTGCTTTAGCTGAAAATTAAAAACTCAGTACACAGTTTGTAAATTAACTGTGAATTAAAAAGAAAAAGATTAAGTACCAGCTTAATATCTCAGTATTTATTTCTTCCCACAGGATGTCTACAGGACAACTGAGAATTTCAAATGCATCCAGAATTTAATTTCAGTTCTTCACGAGGAGAAAGCAGAGCAGACAATGTATCTGTATTAGCAGAACCTATCAGTTCTTACCTTAACCACAGTTACATCCAAGCCTGATAAGTGCAAAATTGGAGCAGCATTCTTTTCAAAAAGGTTCCTGGCTTTGCTAGAAATAACAGAGTAAAAACTATTTCATTAGTCTGGTGGCTAGAAAAATTAAAAAGGAAAGAAACAAATGAATAACAAGAAGGTATCTACTTAAAAATGAGCATACATTCTACAAAATCAGTCACTCAACCTGCCAGTCAGGAAAGATGAGATTTCATTTGGTTCAAATGTATTACATTTCTAGACTCATATCTCAGATGTCAGTTTTTTGTTGCAGTTTTAATAAATGCGGAAGAGGTTATCTAGCTTTCTCCAAAAATAATTTAAAAAACCCAACAAAACAAAACAACATCTCCAGAAAGAAATTTATTACAAAATTAATCACTTAGAGAGCACCAGGCTTTAAGACCACAAAGAAGGCCCATTTAGGTTTTCAGAAAAAAATATTTACTGCTACATGTTATTAAGTAAGTTTAGAAGCAAAATTTTATCTGACCTTTTGTTATAGGACTGATACATTTTCTGCCTGTAACTGCATAATAAAATAATTATGCCATTAACTATAAATTGCTTACAGTAAGTAGAAGAATGAGACTAGAAGTCAGAGACTTAATTTCTTAACACTTTGCATTTTCCAGTCACGGGTGTTTTGAACAAAAGCATGTTAAGTCCAAGCACTTCCATGTCAGATATATTCTTCCTTTCATGTTACTAACAACTCCCTGCCCCTCCCCAAGATGCAACTGATATGAAGCTTAGCTGATCAGCAGAAGCAGACACACATCACATCCAAGATTACTGTTTTTCTGCTAAAAAGCATGTAAAAATAGCAGCCAACCTCTTCCAGGAGTCCTGCTCTGAGCCCATATTTAGCCTCTCAGTTTGTGGGCACATCCCTTTCAAGGACAGGTTCCCACAGAAGCAAGATCACTGCTGGCTAACTTCAAGTCTTGAAGTAATCAAGGTCATCTCTTATTTCTATAGTTTTTGAGGATGGAAATGCATCACATACAAGAGTTTGGAAGGAATACGAAGGAATTCCACATACAAAGGAATGACAAAGGCCAAAACACAGGATAAAAGAAAAATTAAAAATATACATATGTTTAGAAATCATTCTTTCAACTCAAGCATCCACTTCTATTTCTCATCCCAGTATTTTTGGTGAAATAAAATCTGGCATAGTTACATAGCACCAGCTTGGCATCAGAGGGAGGCAAAAATGAGCTCAAAAATCTGGCTGGCTTTTCTAGTGGATGGCAGAGCAAAAATACAGAAAAAGTGCCTCCCATATGAGTGTAGGGAAGAAGGAATTTTACCCTTTGCAAGCTGCTGGGTTGAGGAACACTGTCGCTTTCTTCAGTGGCATACTGGAAGGGATCAGCTGGTTGCCAAAAGCCTAAGTAAGAGAAAAAGAGCAGAGTTCAGTTTATCTTTTAAGCACATTGGAAACAGTTCAAAATAATGCATCTCTACAAACGTCAACGGGCTTTCAAGCCTCATGACATTCAAATGACTTCCATCTTCAGCCATTGTACAGGTCTCCTATTCAAAGACCTGCGCTCTTAGCAACAGCTCACGCTACTGTTACAAGTCCATTTTTACAATTCCACCACCATTTAGTTTTTGTCAGCCCCTGGTTTTCTGCCATGGGCAGAGATCCAGAGAGCTATCCTTGACTCCAAGGTTACTCAATTTTCCTTCCTTATGTAGTTCTCATACGCCTGCCTGCCACCTTCTTTCTGCATCTTCTTCCACTTCCATACTTCATTTCTTATATCTCTTCTGCTCATTTTTGTATTTTCTATACTGAATTTTTTGAATATATGAAAGATAATCATCAAAGAATCTGCCCTGACCTATAAGCAAGCTCACTGTTTCTCAGGCATTTTTTCTTCCTAATGTCTCCATATAAAAATCACTTAATTCCTCTTCCACTTTTAGCCCAATTCTCAATAGGTGCCTTGATTTTAAATTCTTCAAGAGTTACTCCATACAGCCTCTTGTACATGTTAGCCATTTGTACCTATTTCCATAGCTTTTCAGCACAGAAGAGGCACGAAAAGGCAAAGCTTCCATGCTTGTTACTTCCCACTCTGCAAACCTCTTTTAGGTCACCTAAAGGCATCCTTGCTACCACACCAAACCAAACTGGTTTTGAGTACAAGGATTACAACGTATTCAGCAGTACCATCCAGAAACCCCAGAAATAAAGTAGGAACAAAAGACTATTGCACTGAACACAAGACACAGTCAACTGCCCCTGGTTCCCCCCCCCCCCCCCCCCATTCCAT